TATATATATATTGTACGTGAGTAGGCTAGACCTACCTGCACACTCTGAGCCATTTGATTTGGCCCACCAGCAGTTGCCCTGTTTTTTTTTTTTTTTAATCTCGTCATTATATGTAGAAACACTGTATTTCCACTAAGTCATTTCACATATTGGCCCAATGACTATAAAAGGCTAGAGTGTAGACAGTCTTCACTCTGGTGCTTGTTTAATCTTTAAATTATATTAAAATTAAACACACATAAAAAACATTTAAATTAGACCTAAGTGTACACATGGATTTGCACACACTTTATAAGACAACAAATACTCATATTTTAGCAACTTATGAAATGTCCCTTGAGCCTTTGCTGTCCGAGCACATCAAACTTTCTTCAAGTGCATGCGTTAAAAAAAACACTGGGCCATCGGACTGACTGCTTACAGAAGACGAGAGCAGCCGTTTTTAGCATACAATTTTTTACATGGTTTTCTTGTGATAACCACATGTCATATATAACGTCATCATGAAATACCGAGGAGCGTTTTCTTGAGATGAGTTAAAGTGCCTGTGACATCAAATTTTTGAAATAAATGTGAATGCATTTTTGGAAAGAGAACATTGATAACATGTTGTAAAACAAATTTCACGCCACTGAGAAGCACAGTTGTTGAGATATTTGCATGTGAAGAAACAGGAAGTGATGTCAAAGGGGAATGTCTGCATGTAAAAAGAGCAATAATTAGAGAAGAATCTGATGTTTCTTTAGATTATTTTAGTCATTATCTGAGTTGAAGAAGATTGTTTCAATAAACAAAGACTATTTTCTTTTCTTAAAGAGTTCCCCTTTGATGTCACTTCCTGTTTCATTTTGCTGAGCCAAATTCATGAGAAAATATGCCAGTTATGAGACAAAATGGGTAAAATTGTGTTTATTATGCTAATTTTCTTAAATATAAATGTTTTCTTTGACTTTTTGTATTGAAGGATAAGCACGTCACAGGCCCTTTAATTTCCTGATGGTTTTCTTAAGATAACGAAATTATGGTTTTCTGTGAATCATTCCGTAAGCATGGAGATGACCCGACACCCTCAGCAAGCTCATTTGTGTGTATGCCTGCTGATCTGCAGTCAGGCCAGCCATCTCAGATGATGAGGGTTGATATGAAAGTTATCTGTACAAGACAAATTCCAATTTCGGTCTGTGTAATGGATGTTAAAAATGACACAAAATTATGTACAATAGTTTGCCTTCAGGTCCAGGCCACCTTTGAAAAAAGAGCTGCTTTCTCAGTGAGATTTGCCTGGTTAAACAACAGCAAATAAAAAATAAACAAACAAATAAAATATATTAGACTTCATCGATGACCAGCAGAAAGGACCAGTCTCTGTGTCTCTGTGGTTACTGATTGATGCACGAGAGGAAAACCATCTGGAAATTAACTCATTATCTTGAGAAAATGGTCCTCGTTATCTCGTGCTAATGACATATGTTGTTATCATGAGAAAATAATGGAAAATAAATATAATATATAAAATATTATATATATTATAAAATGGACACTCTCAGTTTAGATAGATTGCCAGCTTAATCCTAAAAATATTTGTATTATCTTATTGCATTTGCCCAGCAGCCCTCAGATTTTCCTTTTGTTCCTCTTGAGAAAAATGTTTTGGGCACCCCTGCCTTAAATATTTGTCTTTGAACATCAGAGACAAAAACAGCTTTCATTCATTTTCCCTCCTTTAGAATTACAATATTTCCAAGAATTGTCCCATAAAAAAACATGCTTGTGACCTCATTTAAAAATAAAACAATTTTTGCATATACCGGTATGTAAACAGTAGCAAACAGCTGTTAATATATGTGCTAAAACCATGGTGGTTCTGCAGATAAGCTGCTACTCTGCACCACAAAGCTAACAGCAGTCAAACATCTAAATGAAGTTTAGACACGGCTCTTATCTAAAACCTCTTTGGCATCACAATTCAAAAGCACAATTGAATTTTTCTGCATAAAAACAGTGTAACTTTTAGTTTGTAAAACATGCTTCAGAATTTTTTTCATAAATGCTAACCAAATTTACCTTACATGAACTATATTTACACACCCACACACAAAATTTACACAATGTATGAAGCAGAAATACTTGATGTCACGCCGAGATTTAGTGGATAGACTGGTGTGAGGTCCCTTTTGCAATATAAGATGATGGAATTATGTTGGTTTGAATTTTTTCTTTTCTAGTACAGGACATTTCTTATTGTTTTACTACATATTAATTTTGTTTATTGATAAGTCAGTCTTGATTCAAGATGACACCTCCTGCTGGCAAAAGAGATACAGTAAACTCCTCCCCCACTGCTTCTCATCACTTTCAGTCAAGACAATTGCCTTATTTGGTCTCCAAAAGTATTGGAAGATCAAGTCAAATTCCCTTGTTTTTGTTGTACACTGAAGACATTTGAGTTTAAGATCAAAAGTGAGCATGAGTAGAGTTACAAATGTTAGCTTTTATTTTCTTATTTACATGCATATGTGTTAAACAACTTAGGATATA